CCCCCCCCCCCCCCACCCCTTCTGTTTAGCACCAAAAGGTAGGGTTTTTTTCATCTTAATTCCAAAGACATTGAGTTAGATAAATTGTCTCTATAAGGCTAGAACCATGTGATGTCCTCATTTACATTATGCTGGCTGATGTATGTATATATTATTACAGTTTTTAATAACTTGATTGGTGCAGAGTGGCATCAAGGAAGAATTGGCAAACATGATAGCCCCGGTAACGGTTAGGCCAATCACACGGTGGCCATTCTTTGCCTTCTTGGGTGGGGCCATGTTTTGCCTGCTAGCGAGCAGCACGTGTCACTTGCTGTCCTGCCACTCAGAGCGCATGTCCTACATCATGCTGCGTCTTGACTATGCCGGCATAGCTGCTCTCATCTCCTCCTCCTTCTACCCTCCGGTCTTCTACTCCTTCATGTGCCACCCCTTCTTCTGCAACCTCTACCTCTCCCTCATCACCCTTCTCGGAATAGCGACTATCATCGTCTCCCTCCTCCCGGTTTTCCAAAACCCAGAATACCGCTCCTTCCGGGCTGCCATGTTTTTCACCATGGGCGTTTCTGGTGCGGGCCCCATCCTGCACAAGCTCGTCCTGTATCACGACCAGCCCGAGGCGGTCCACACGACCAGGTATGAGGTTCTGATGGGTGCGCTTTACGGGATCGGTGCCCTGGTGTACGCGCTGCGTGTTCCAGAGAGGTGGATGCCCGGCAAGTTTGACATTGCCGGCCACAGTCACCAGCTGTTTCACGTGCTGGTGGTGGCGGGGGCTTATACACATTACCGCGCGGGATTGGTTTATCTCGGGTGGCGGGACCTACAAGGATGCTAGAGATTTTACTTGCAGGGTAAAAAGGTGGCTGTATGGTTAAATGTTAATGTAAGAGAAATGATACTTGTCTTTATTGTCCAGTGTATAGTAGATTAGTAGTACCATAGTCCATAAATGAGTAGGAAATGTTCCTATCTAAACCAGCTATGATCAGAATCCTTTAATATAAAATTTGAGAGTTGATTAAGTAAAATGATGATATGTGTCACTTAAAGATGATTTAATTTTATGCCACATCAACCCTCCACGTGTCCTAATTTGGTGCGTTTTCAGCGTCCCCCATCTTCATCGCCACATTCAAGCACTAGAGAAAAATTTCTTTCGCCTGTCCTCCTCCATCGAGTGAAATCTGCGATTTCTTAGATTTGTTCAATGATTTACCAAGAGCTAAAGTAGAAACTTCCATCTTCATCCCGGATCCATCTCCGATGCAAGTCAACTAAAGGATCCATCTTCCATCTCCGCGAAGGAAAACCTGCAAATTAGGTATGTTTCGTATTTTTTTGGGCATTTATGTATGGTCGAGCAAAGTCCGATCTTCAGATTACGTTTCCTTTCCAGATTACGTCTTGAGAATAGGTTTCTTTCCAACATATTTTAAAAATTACATAAATCATTTTTTAAAAAAGAGATCGTTGGATTATAATAATGTTCAAGTATAAAAAAGATTACTATACATAATTTTGTAAGTAACTATTTTAATTTTATAATTTTAGTTAATTACAAGAAAATTTATATTTTATAGGCTTTTAGATGGTTTATCATTTAAATGTAAAAATATAATATAATATTTTTATTGGCTTTTAGAATATGATAATTGATTTAAGTAAATTATATAACGTAATTGATTAAAATAAAATTTTATTTTTGTTTGTAATATGATTAATTGAATTATATTATTTTATTTATTTGAATATAAAAAACAAAATGAAAAATAACTCTAAGTTAATACGGAGTATTCTATAAAACAAGAAGTGTCTAGATTATTTTTTAAAGGATCAACTGTTTAAATCAAATAAATTTTAAAAAATATTTTCATAGGCTTGAATAACTTCTTATTCAAACACGAAAAAAGAATTGCATGAGAGTTTGCCAAATGTATTTATAAATTTCCATTCAGAATCATAACATTGCTAATATGTTTTTTGTACTATTTTTTGTTTGAATTAATGCATTAGAGAATTGAAATTTCAATGTTTATTTAATTTATTTTTTTAAATCATACAATGCATAATTCAAGATTTGACAGCAAAGTTAACCGAGACATATAATCAATAATGTTATTCATGTTATTCAGACATTCCAATCTGTGTACCATATATACGTATGAGAGGTAAAGAACACTTGTTGTTTTTGGATTAAGAATTATATTTTAAGAAATATCCCTAGATAGAGGTAAAAAATTATTAAAATACCAAAATATGAGTCTTAAGTCATTTAATATCAAAATATTAGTATAATGACATGGTAATCTAAGAGTACACATTGAAGTGTGATGGAAAAGTGATAACAATAAGGCATGTGTTATAAAATAAAAAAGCACTATTTTTAAATTTGTAATCCCCCCCCCTTTAATGTATTAACTTTTAGCATGGATATATTAAGCGTTTACATACTTTTGTATAGGTTTTCCCCATAAATAATTAACTTAAAATAATAATGTAAAACAATTTTAAAATATACAAACCAATATGAATATTATTCATAAAATTTGAAACTAAAATAACATTACCCTTGAATTTAATTAAAATATTGAAACAAAAAATAAAAAGAAACAAAAAAATAACTATATAATTTTGGTTAAAGAGCAAAAATTAGAGATCTTTTTCAAGGAATATTCAAACATATTGAGAATATTTGTAAAAGCCAAATGTTATAATTTTAATAAAACATTAAGTATAGTGATTTGCAATATTACTTGCCTTTTTTCAATTTTAAATCTTATAAATTTAATAAAACATTAAATACAGTAATTTACAATATAACTAGCACTCTTTTTAGATTTGTTACTTAAATCACTCAATTTTAGAGTCATATTTAAAAAAATAATTGATATCCTTAAAATTCAATTACAAAATGTTCAGATATAACTCAAGAAATGTATAATTTCATCTATCACCATCACTCAAGCTTAAATACACACGTGTTCCGAGAGGATTAATATTCTGATTAAAAATTATAATAAGTATTCAAACTTTATTTTCTTTTTTTAAGTATAGTTGGTAAAAACATCCAATTTTTCTATAACAATTGAAAACATAGAAATTTAACATAATGAAAGATATACGAGATCAAGTAGAAAAGCAAGAGAAATGATAAATGAAACATTTCAACAAAAAACACATAAAAAGGTGCATATTTTTACGATTATTGTTTTATTTTAGCAATTCAACATACACCTATCACAATCAAAAATATCTTTTGGAGGGTTCCTACTTCCTAGGAATCATATGTAATTAAACTCTAAAACTGTTGCTTTAGATTTTTTACGCATGCTTCTTTTGTATATAGTATCCTAATTAATGCAAACATATTTAAAAATTTTGAAAATAACCAAATTAAACAAAACATTGGTGGCTATAATTTCTTTGTTGTTTTTGAGGCAACAAAGACCATTGATAGGCCGCCTACAATGTGTGTCAATAGGAACAAAAAAAATTGTACTACTTGAAAATACTATTAGCGGTCTAACAGGGATGTACAAGCTATCAGAGCTTGAAGACAGTTACCAATAATGTTGTACGAACAAAACTCATTCGACAATGCATGTGAAACATTGGAGTTATTAGCCAATGATAAAGAAATTATTGAAGATATAAAATAGACAACTGAGCTAGGATCTCGGAATCAGCTTAGAAGGTTGTTAGTCACATTATTAGTGACAAATAGTATGAGTCGTTCTTAAGTTTTTTGAGAAAAATCATAGGAGCTCTTGGTTGATATATGAGACTTTATTTGATTGCTAAAATTGCAAAAATAAGGCCTTTCTATAAAAAGGCAATTTTTTTATTTATATAAAGATCAATATGAAATGTACTCTGTATGATGTATATACAAAACTTTAGAAATGAGATATGGGTTAAAATTTAATGATTTAGTCTCATTTTAACCATTTTTATAGAACTTATTATTTTTCAAGAAGATTTAAAAAATTTATGTTTGATTAAGATTGAAAAGTTATTAAATTCAAATAGATGATCCTTATAAGAGTTAGGTGATATGCCATTTCGAGATGACAATCCACTTAATAGATTTTAAAATAATATCTTGGTAGAAGAGTTGAAATATGACAAATAAAAGTTGTCATATGATCTTAAATACTCCCTCTGTCCTAAATCCAACTTCCCAGATTGACTAAAACCCATTTTAATGGATTGATTAATATGGATTTGACTTCCAAAATGCCCCTCCATCTAAACCCGAAAACATAAAAGTTTTCTATCGTTTCTGTAACTGGGCAGTGTAAACGGTGGCTGGGCGGCCTGCTCGCCGGCGATAAATGACTAACATACCCACAATTAACATGTCTGGCTCGATCGAAAAGCACAGCTGCTAATGAAGCGGCATATAAATGTGGCCAAATAAGAAAACAATTGATGAGTAACAGATTGAATAACCAATTGAAAAAGGACTGAATTGTGATTAAAAAATAATTGAAAAAAAACTCTAGACGGCTATAGAAAAAACATACCTAGGCCAATTTCCGATTGAAGGTAACGACTAATGAACCTCATCATCATCTCCAATTCTGTGAAGCTATTTAGACTTTGAATCACATACCGACGACCTTACTACTCCTACAGGCGTCCTTCCTGCAACCCCAATCCCTAGATGCCGAGATTCTGAGTGTGGAGGGGGGTGATGATGATGAGACGATCTCAAGAACGACGATGATTGCAACTTTGATCCCTAGATTAGATCTAGGTTTTGAGCAGGGGAATAGAAAGAGAGACGAAGATAAGAGGGAGAAAGAATGTCGATAGAGTAAGAAGGTTGGGGAGTAGATGTTGTAAGGCTAGGATTGTCATTTTACACCCTTTTTAGGATGTGGGAAGGTAATTTTAGGATATTAAAAATGAAGAAGTGGGAAGATAGTTTTAGGACAGAGAAAATAATATATATTTATAATGAATGAACACCAGAGGAAGATATACGACGATAAACGCTTTACGTTTTGTTATGACTATGGATAAAAGTCAATGTCATATACTATCATTTGTTGGATTATTTTTAACTGGGTTGAAGTTCACTCCTAGTTAACTTTATGTTATTGTTTCACGAGTGAAAACTAAGATAGAGTTAAAAATATTAGTTCTAAATAATAATGAAAGTCCTTGCAACCACACCAAAATGTTATATTCCCCAAAGACTTTCAAACAAAATATGAATTTTAAAAAGATTTTGAGGTGTTTACTTTTGAATTTATATATAAGCATCTTTATAACCAATTTTTAAATGCCAAATTATTTATTTTACCTTGATTTTAATGTCTACAGAGTTAAAGAACGCACTACATTTATTTCCATACTCATTTAAAAAATATTGCATTAAAGATAATTCAAAAAATCAATAAAAATTTTGTTTGACCCCGTGCCACAATTACTAGTGAGTAAAGAAAGCACGCATCGATTTGGATTTCAAATCAAGGTTTGGCTCAAATTATATGTTTGAGAAACTTAAAAATTTTGCATTTGAAATTGAAATACATGAATTGAAATGAAATTTTAGTTGCCAAATACTATTTTACAGAATTTCTTTAAGGAAAATGCTAAGTTACCCAAAAATGTACTCCCATTGTATAAGAATGGGACACAAACATTATGAGTTAGTGTACAATTGGTGTATTTTTTTTATGTACCTTTAACATTCTTCTTTCTTTAAATAATATATTCAGTATTACCTTCGTTTTGAAATAGTAGACACATTTCGGATTACAATGATTAACTAAATTTATGTTTATTTCAATTTTTTTGAGGGAATGTTTATTTCAAATAGTTTAAAATTAATGTAATTTGTCTATGTGAATAGTAAATGTGTCTTTTGTTTTTGAATTGACTGAGTATTTTTTGTATCGCAAGTCTTTCATCTCAAGCATTCAAAGGTACCTAATTGTTAATTGTCTTCTTGGAATGAAATGGAGTTCTTTATTTTATAGAAACGGAGAAAAAAAACGCTACCTACTTTTTTTTTACAATTTTTTAGTCTTGTATTCTATTCTATGCTGGTTATTTTATACTCCCTCCGTTCCTTAAAATTCTTTCGTTCTAAATTTTTGTGCACCTCATTAAACACTTTTACTTCCACCTAAAATATCTAAAATATACCACACTATGTAGTTTATTGCGGGTAGAAGTTGTTTTATGAGTATTTTAAACATTTTAGGTGGGATAGAAGCATTTTTTGGGCTGCGTAAAAAATTAAAATGGTAGTGTTTTGTGGAACGGATGAAGTATTATGTAACTTAATTCAATCAAAAGTTTATGTCTTACCGTA